CATTGTGGTCGAAGTGGAACTGAAATCGAGTATCTTTATGCTTTAATTATTGTTTTCTTAAACACTGTTCAAATTTTATACTTACGCTGCACAACCTCATGGAACCGACTATATCGGTTCCCGGAGGAATACCGCAGAAATCGAGCCACTTCTCCTGGAGTGCATGATGTTTTGGAAATCGGAAAACAATCCGATATGTTTAAAACTAGTAGTAGATTTTAATGTACACCAGTGCTACACCGCAACAACGAAAACGACATAAATAGAAGCGAGTTTTTTTCAATCCCTGACAGTAGCAATTAATAAACAATAACGATTATTGATGAAGCTCATAAACCAATCTACTGCGATTGGAAGTGTTGCTGGTATGTTTTTTATTCTCTAAATCTTATCATTTTCAATCCGCCTCTCTCTTATACTAGACCCTCTCTAGTGCCAGCAAAACAAATATTTCAATGTCAACATTTCAAAGGGGCGTATTTGCTAAATGTATGCTAAATTTAGCATGAAATTAATGAAGGGGGATATTACGCGTTGGTTAAATAATAATATTTCCTGCAAAAAGGTGGAAAGCGATGCGTGTAGATGGATTTAGATGCAAAAGATGCAAAAAGATTTTGTGTAGATTGATTGGCTAGCATCAGATTTTTCGACGTTATAAAATTGAGATTTAGATGTGTCACACCCCTCATCAGAAACATCATAAACAATAAAAGACAACGGGGCTTATTACGGATGTCACTTCACGGTAAAAACTTGTCACTTGTCGTCACGGTGAAGTGATTCTCATTTGATTTGTACGGTAATCACGGCTCTTATTGCTTATCACCGTGTAGTGTCTGTCTGTCTGTCTGTCTGTCTGTCTGTCTGTCTGTCTGTCTGTCTGTCTGTCTGTCTGTCTGTCTGTCTGTCTGTCTGTCTGTCTGTCTGTCTGTCTGTCTGTCTGTCTGTCTGTCTGTCTGTCTGTCTGTCTGTCTGTCTGTCTGTCTGTCTGTCTGTCTGTCTGTCTGTCTGTCTGTCTGTCTGTCTGTCTGTCTGTCTGTCTGTCTGTCTGTCTGTCTGTCTGTCTGTCTGTCTGTCTGTCTGTCTGTCTGTCTGTCTGTCTGTCTGTCTGTCTGTCTGTCTGTCTGTCTGTCTGTCTGTCTGTCTGTCTGTCTGTCTGTCTGTCTGTCTGTCTGTCTGTCTGTCTGTCTGTCTGTCTGTCTGTCTGTCTGTCTGTCTGTCTGTCTGTCTGTCTGTCTGTCTGTCTGTCTGTCTGTCTGTCTGTCTGTCTGTCTGTCTGTCTGTCTGTCTGTCTGTCTGTCTGTCTGTCTGTCTGTCTGTCTGTCTGTCTGTCTGTCTGTCTGTCTGTCTGTCTGTCTGTCTGTCTGTCTGTCTGTCTGTCTGTCTGTCTGTCTGTCTGTCTGTCTGTCTGTCTGTCTGTCTGTCTGTCTGTCTGTCTGTCTGTCTGTCTGTCTGTCTGTCTGTCTGTCTGTCTGTCTGTCTGTCTGTCTGTCTGTCTGTCTGTCTGTCTGTCTGTCTGTCTGTCTGTCTGTCTGACCCTTATAGACTCGGAAACTACTGAACCGATTGGCGTGAAAATTTGTATACAGGGGTTTATGGGGCCGTGGAAGGTTCTTATGACCCCTCCCCCTTCTGTAAGGGGGGGTCCCATACAAATGAAACAGAAATTTCTGCATAACTCGAGAACTAATCAAGCAAATGGAACCAAATTAGGCATGTGGGGGCGAGTGTGGAGGCATAAGGAGATAATCATAGGGGGTAGCCCCTTAGATAATAGGGGGGGGGCTACGTACAATATAGTATGCTTTTTTTTAAATCGGCGCATAAACTCAAGCTAATATTGAATCCCGAGCAAGACCGGGCACACTCAGCTAGTACTGTATAAAACTCTATACAATATCAAGGCCACAAAATGGAACCAATGTTTCCAATTCGGAAATAGTGTAGAAGGTAAATTTAATCATTATATTCTACTATCAAGGTACCCCGTTGCGTCAGTTCGAAGCGATTTGCGTCAGTTCGAAGCGACATGCTTCCCCACAGCGGTGTGGTCATCAAGAGGAAAAAAATTAATTGAATAACGAGCCCTGAAGGTCGCTGCCATCAGACGGTTATCTAATGTAAAAGTGTATCCACGTTGACATTCCTTGTGGCAATAAATCGTATGAAAGTTTGTAGCAAATTAAATTTCAAGCTTTTATGAAATTGTTTGCTCCCAAAACAATTTCAAAGTCGAAACTTTCCTCCGGTTGCTGACTTTGTATCACGCTACAATCATTACATCCAATTGCACCCTTTCCCTTGTAGGTAACCGTAGGACTTTACGCCCGTTACATGACGCCGCAGTTCGAGTACCCTCGTGTCTCCTTGCATACTTGCCATAAACTATATTCCCGGCAGAGCAAATGTCACGTAGGGTAGGAATGTGTAAAACGCCCCACCGGGGAGAAATGAAAACTTTTGCATTTCTACGAATCCATGATCAATATAAATGGAAAACTGATGGGTAATACAAGTACGTAAGGATGGTCCAAAACGTACCCTTGGGGTAATATGTCACACGCTGTGAAATGGACAAACCAGTGCCAACATTTCAAAGGGGCGTAATTGCATTTGTAAACAATGGCTTTAGCTATCGATTTCTCGCGAATAAAAGCTTACTCATAAAAATTAATGACACCAACAGGTAGAGGAATCTTTCCTCTACTAGCTAGCATTGTTAACTTGGAGGGGTGAGCGTTTATTTGCGAGAAATTGACGTCTGAAGCCATTGTTTACAAAAGCAATTACGCCCCTTTGAAATGTTGACACTGAAACGATCGTTTAATATAGAAGCGCTAGAGATGGTTGCGCCTAGTGATTAGGAAATAGATAAATTAGAGTGCACAGAAGGAGAAAAGTATTTAATTTTGAGTTCTTTTCACCCAGGTTTGCAGTTCCGTGCGCCAACTCAATTTAGAGTTCTAGCAAACGGTGGAAACAAATCGAATAACGTATCCCATTCTAGTCGAAATTCAAGTACTACACTATGTTTGTTTTGATTCACTATGAAAGTTTGACAGATAAAATGAGGGGTTCGTGGATTTTTCTATGTTTCGAGGGGGGTATCGATTAGCTTGAGACCGAAGATAGTACCAGAGCTGAGCCAAAAGTTGAGCACGTTTATTCGGAACCTTCTGGTCTTAGAGCTACTATACTATGCTATACTTAGGTATAGCATAGTTGAAAATTCTAGAACCCCTAAATGTCGAAAAATGTTCCCAAACTTTTTATTTTAAATGCTACTAAAGAAAAAAAACTTAATTTGTCTATCTAACAAAGTAACGGATGCACGCGATTATTCCATGAATTAAACAGAACGTAAAGCCGTTTTTTTTATTAAGGAGGGCGTATTATACCTGTTTGCCCTATTATTAAACTAAGCGTACGAAGTTGGCCTGGAGCCAGCCACAGGAAAAGCTACAACTTGGTCTCCGTTCAATCGAAACAAACCTTACGTGGATAAGTGGCGCATTGTCGATGGGGGTTTCAAAGCTAACGCACAGTTATCTTTAGGGGCACATGTTTTGATACCAGGTACACTTGGATCTGAACGCATTCCGGTCAAGGGAAAGTAGGTGGTTAAAGCTAGCGAGATATAATTATAGATGTGCTGATGTCAGCTGATGCGTCCAAACAAACTTTCCAATCGTGTGGAAACGGTCAGTTGGATACAACATCCGCACGTCTATTACATGAACGGTAAGCATTTTGCGAAGATTGTAAGATGGTGTATACACAAGATCATCTTCAATCGACAAAATCGATATGATGGAGAGACTGCTACTGTGTTACCTGACTCATAACGAATATACGTTGTATAAGAGTACCCTGAATTCAACGTATAGTTCGTCTAATTTTACATTTGCAAATGCTATGAAAAACTAGACGAGTAGCTATCCTTTTCTGTTGGAGTCGAACAGCTTCGCAGTATTCTAGAACAAACAAATTTGCAATCGCTTGTCTCTCTTTCTCCCGTCGCTTCGTTGGTCTTTCTTTCAGGCTTCGGTGAAGCAGACGATTGAAAGAGCGCTTGACTTTGATAGTTTCGTCTTTCGTGGAACACATCAACAGAGGTTTCAAGACGTATATGACGAAAAATTATAATATACATATATTTAAAGCATATCTTACGTGAAAATACTTGAAGATTGCACGAAGTAAGTGTAATTTATCTTCCATCCACATACTTATCAAAAAAAAAGTAACTGAAACGGAACATAACACATATTAAACAAATTGAAAAAGCAATGAAGTCGGTGAGTGTCGGTGAAAGGGATTGAAATTTAATTGAAAGTGATGAGCAAAGCAACGACAAGAAAATTCACAGCCACCCTTTCGTTCTAAGTGTGCTTTTTTTAATTTTCGTATCTTGCTGATAGTCTAGCTAGGTGTTATAGAAATTATGCGTTGAACACGTTGCATGAAAGAGAAAAAACTCGAGAATTTAGAGCTTCCAAAATAAAGAGCCATGGTACACACAGAGTTTAGTTTTACTGGGGTTATAAATAAATTTAATGTCAGTAAACCAAAAATAATCAGAGTTGGTTGGAAATGATAATTTATTAACTAGAGAAGAGGATAGGTCGATAGTTCCGCTAGAGTACGGCAGTGCTTCCGTGCTTCCGTCTTTTAACGCCTCTTTAAACTGTTCCCCTGGTAGAGGAGAATTAAGTTCATTCGAGGCGGCACAAGCAACCATTCCGAGCATCAATAACTCCCCGTTATCGCTTACCCTCACACACTATTGTCTTTAGGACTCAAGACTACCCTCTTATCAAAAAGAAGTGAAGTGACTATACAAATCATTTTCTTTCTAATGCCACTGTTGCTTATGCAACTAATAGAGAAGTCAGCTCCGAAATTTTAAACGTATTTATTATGTGTTGCGTTAAAGTTTCCTAAAAAAAATATGCGTTTTAGAATACAATGCTTACTATGATCTTATAACTTACGTTTTGTAATCTTCTTTCATTGTTTAACCCGGAATGGGATCTATGTAACGCTAGGCTTAGGGAATCCTGAATACAATTAATCAAATTTAGGAAATATTCAAATTAAACTTTTAGTTAATAAATTTACCGGTTTGTGCAGAATAACTTTAGTTTTCTTTTCTGTCTAGAGGCGGCTCAAGGCAGAGTGCAAATCAATTTAACCTAAAACAATTTCTAGGATAATAAATTTCATTTTAATTAGCACTTTAATAAACAAAACTGTTATTTGTTCAACTCACTGCATGTGTAGAATAACAAATTTAGGTTTAAATGCAAACAAATTTAGGTTTAAATGTAAATATATACGCGAAAATTAGGCAAATAAATTTAGATAATCTTTTTCGACATCGTGTCACACCAATTCAGCTTTGTTATAAGCACTCTTTGTTCTTCTCCATGATCTCGTTTTGTCAGCTTTCGCTTGTTCAGTTGGTACCGAAGTGTTGATTTGGAGGTAGGCTCACAGACGAGGGGCGTTCGCAACACTCCCCCCCAGTAGTTGGACCCTGGTTCAGCATACTCTGATTTGTCCCGATGTCCAGTACCGCCAATTTCACCGCTGGTCTGTCGTAGATGCCGGAAGCGGTCTGAACCGTTGCTGAACGTACCTGCCCATCTTTCGAAGTCTTGACTGCGACTACTCTGCCTTTAGGCCAGCAGTTCCTTGGGAAGCTGGGATCGACGACAATTACAATGTTTCCAACAGCAATCGGTTTTACAGGGTTGAACCACCTAGCTCGGCGGGTGATTACAGGAGTGTATTCAAGAACCCAGCGTTTCCAAAAATAGTTGGCCAGAATTTGTGATGTTTTCCAGGACTGCCGCATAGCCAAAGCACTATCATCATATGGCACTAAAGGTTTAGAACCATTCGATGATCCAACTAAAAAGTGGTTCGGTGTCAATGCGGGAGACGATTCATCGTCGACAGGAACATGAGTCAATGGTCTGCTGTTTACAACGTTTTCTATTTCAGCCATCAGGTTCTTTAGGACTTCGTCGGTTGGTAAACGTTTCGGTTTGATTTCGGCTAGAACCTTTTTGACCGTCTGTATCATCCTCTCCCATATGCCACCCATATGTGGCGACGCAGGTGGGTTGAAGCTCCACGAAGTAGACGCCGTAGTGAACTCAGCCATAATTTTGTTGTTGTCGACGTTCGCTAATGCCTCCATGAGTTCCTTTGATGCGCCCACGAAGTTGGTCCCTCGGTCGCTTATTATTTGCAGTGGAGTTCCCCGTCTGGAGAAGCAATTGCGTAGGGCCATTATGCACGAGTCCGTTGAGAGAGAGTGGGCTATCTCGATATGGATCGCCCGTGTAGTCAAGCAAGTAACTAACACTCCATAACGTTTCTCGGACCGCCGCCCAACGGTGACCTGGTACGGGCCGAAATAGTCAACCCCTACGTAAGAAAAGGGTCGAACAAAGGCTGCTAGTCGCTCTTTTGGGAGGTTCGCCATCATAGGAGGATCAGGCTCAGCCCGTCGGATTTTACAACGGGAACACTCTCTACGGACTCTGTCACACTCCACACGTACTCTTGGAATGTTGAACTTCTTCCGAGCTTCGTTAACGAAGGTTTCGTTGCACTGGTGGTGGTACTTTTCGTGGACGTTCTGAAGCACTAAATTTGTGAGCGGGTTGCGACGTGGTAGTACAATCGGGAACTGCGTCTTTTCGTCAGCAAAATCGCAAACGTCGATACGACTATGTATGCGCATCACGCCCGCACCATCAATAAACGGGCTGACCTTGAACAAAGAACTAGTTTTGGGTAAATTTGGCTTACCTGCGGACAATGTCGCCATCTCATCCTGGTAACATGCCCATTGAGCGCGCTTATACAGATAATTGTCCGCCGCTAGCAGTTCTTCGCTGGTCAGTGGTCCTCGAAGAAGTTTCTCACCCTTCAGTTTCCGCTGAAGATTGACCGGAAATCGCTGCACGAGAGCGGTAAGTCGCTGTAGGTGGCTCAAATTGGAATAGTTTTCCGGACGCAGAAAATCTCCGGCTATCTGGGTGTGGTGATGTAGCAATCGCGGCCGGAGTTCTTCTGCAGTTTCTTCGTTGATTGATGCTTCGGGCCATTCCGATCTCGGCTTCGACAAGAATGGTGGACCCGCAAACCAGCGGCAGCTGATGTCGAAACTCGGTAAACGATCCCATTTCGTACCTTCATCGGCAACATTGATTTTTCCTCGTATCCACCTCCACTCTCCGATATCTGTAGCTTCTAAGATTTCCCCGACACGAAAGGCGACGAACTGGGAGTATTTTCGGTGATCCGACTTGAGCCAACACATTACATCACGGGCGTCCGTCCAAAAAATCCGTCGATCAATCTTGATCGAATGTCCATCCTCAACGCTTCGTGCTAAACGGGTGCCTATCACCGCTGCCTGGAGTTCAAGCCGTGGAATTGATAGAGATTTGATCGGGGCAACTCTACTTTTCGATCCGACTAACGAACAAGAGATTTTATCTCCTTCAATGAACCGAAAATAGCAAACCGCAGCGTATCCAAGTTCACTGGCATCCACAAACGTATGCAATTCTACTGTACGTTCTCTGCCACGCGAATAAGATAGATGGTAACATCGTGGAACTCGCACCGATTCCGCTTCCGGTAGAAGTTGCAGCCAGTTCTTCCACTTCATCAACTGCCTCACGCCGATTTCGTCATCCCATGAAGATCCCTCTCTCCAAATCTCTTGGAACAGCAATTTCAAGTATACCATGTAGTGAGATATCAAGCCGAGAGGGTCGTACACCGACATCATTACGCGTAGTACGTCTCGTTTCGTGGGATGTTTGAGGCCAGAAATAAGCTCTTGGTTCCGTTCAGTGGAAAGTTTGTACCGAAAGGTATCCGTCTTGGTGTCCCACCACATTCCGAGGACCTTCTCCAGTACTGCTTCGTTGTTCACGTCCAAACTTTTCTCAGCTGTTCCAGTTTCACCTAGCGCTTGCACAACTGATGGAGAATTTGAAATCCAGTTCCTCATGGTGAACCCGCCCTGTAGATGGATGTAATGGATATCCTTCGCTAGCTTTATTGCTTCTTCTTCGGTGTCGACGCTTACCAACATGTCGTCGACGTAGTGGCCTTTCTTGATGATTTCAACAGCCTCTGGAAACTGTACTGCGAATCGTGCTGCGTTTTCGTTGATAATGAACTGGGCGCAGCTCGGTGAGCACTTAGCGCCAAACGTCATCACCGTAACGACGTATTCGCCAGTCGTACCATCCCGGTTGCACCAGAAAATCCGTTGACAGTGCTGGTCAAGCGGGTTCATCAGCATACGGAGGAACATCTCAGCGATGTCCCCAGAAACTGCAATCGGCCGCTCCCGGAATCTGTACAGCACAAATGGCAACGCTGTCAGAAGATCTGGTCCTTTCATGAGGACAGAGTTGAGAGAGACTCCACCCACAGTCGCCGCTGCATCCCAAACGATCCGAACTTTGTTTGGCTTGTTCGGGTTGAATACAGGGAATATTGGCAAGTACCATATGCGATCCTTGGGTTCTCGTAATTCCTCTGGAGACAATTTGCGAACGTAACCCTTCTGCATGTAATCGTCCATCTTGGCTCTAAGTGTTTCAGCCAAGCTCGAATCACGTTCCATTCTTTTCATCAGGCAATGGTGACGTCTCAATGCCATCGGCCTACTGTCAGGTAGCCGAATGTCGTCGAATTTCCACAGCAGTCCTGTTCGAAATCTTCCATTCTCGAACTTCGTCACTGAACGCATCATCTTTGCAGAGCGTTCATCTTCCGTTGACAAAAGCAGCTTTTCCAGTTTCGCAATGCCCAGATTTTCGAGTGCAAAATGGTCCTTGACCACTGAATTCAGTTCGACGTCAGCTTCTGAAGAGTGATGACACATATGGAAACTATGCGGTGCGGTATTTGAGCACGCTCTGCCTCCAGAAGGGCACGTTCCGTACACCATCCATCCCAATCTGGTCTTGGCTGCTATGGGTTCGTGTTCTGCACCCTCACGGCTTTCCAACGGATGAACTACTCGTATGTTGTTCATACCAATTAGGATACGAGGCTGCATGTTTGTGTACGAGTCCACGGGTATCCCTTGCAAGTACGCATGTTTCGTGGAAAGCTCCTCAAATGGTAGGGACTGAGAAGGTAGCTTCAATTCCTTCACGGTGTAAACGTCAGCGAGTCGATGTTTGACTTTTTCATTACGTGTCCCAGAAATTTCGAGTGATACCCTCATGGCCGCGTCCTCGTATCGGCATGTATCAGCGGTCCACCGGAGACATAGCGGATGCTTCTCACCTTGCAGCTGTAACTCCGATGCTAGCCCCTCTTCTAGCAACGTTAACGAAGACCCACAATCGAGGAAGGCAAAGGTGTTGATTCGTGCTCCTTTATTGTGAAGCGTGACGGGAATGTACTGAAAAAGTACGGAATTGCTGTTTCCTCGATGAGTGTTGCAGGTATGCTCGGCGGCGTTTTGATGGCTTGGACCACTCTTCGGCTCTGAAGTAGAAGTAGGGGAATAGTGCTTATCCTTGGCATCATTATGCAGCAACCGGTGGTGTTTGAACGTGCATCCGTTTTTCCCACACATTTTAGTAAACTTACACGGACCCTGGTGCTTTCCTAAACAACATCGGCATAGCTTATACTCACGTATCGTATTCCACCGCGAAGGATGGTCGAGAATCAAAAACTGTTTGCAGTATTCTACCGCTTCACACTTTCCTTGACAAACGGCACAAGTGCTTGAATTGATTAAACCATTTGAATCCACCTCTGGTTTCGGAGCAGTTTCAGTGTGAGCATTCAAAAAACCGTCATCCTTTCGTGCATGCCGGGGCTTTTCAGGAACACTCTGAATTTGTGGGATCGTTACACTACTAGCCGCCTCAGCGAGATTATACAGCCAGTCGCTGAACTGTGAGAGTGTAACTCGGTACAGATTCTGGCGGTGAGTTGCCCAGTTGAGGCGGATCATTGGTGGTAGGCGATCCACAAGACTTTGTAGAAGAGAGATGTTGCAGAGATGCTCTTCCAAATCACAGTTTTGCACTGTCGCTACCATGTTCCTCACGGCGATAGCAAAGTCGACCAGTGTGCCAAGTTTCTCAGCTTTCGGTGCTGGCAGGAGCTGAATCTTCTGTATGAGGGAATGAACTATAATCTCGGGACGGCCAAACAACATTTTGAGGGTTGCCAAAACGTTTTCTAGGTTCCTCGGGTGTAACAACTGACACCTCACTGCTTCGAGTGCCTTGCCCTTGAGACATTTCTGTAAGCGTATCATATTTTCTTCCGGGGTGTAGCCACAAATACGTGTTGTACTGTCAAATGTAGCAATAAATAACGGCCACTGTTCCGGATCACCGTTGTACTCCGGGAGGTCCTTAGATACGGCTTGGCGCGCAGCAATTTGACTTCTGTTGAGTAAAGCCGATTCGTTCCCGAATCCAGTTGCTTGCAGATGATCTTCATTACGGAATCCTGGAATGCTCGGACGAGTTTGTTGTACTGGTGAAGGTTGGAATTGCGAACTGATACCAGTCTGAAGCGGCCTGCTAGACCTTCGTGGGTTTTGAACCGGGGAAGAATGGTACTGTGGGTTTGGAAAAACTGGAGCGGGAGGTGATTGCACAATATGCACTCGTGGAAAATCCGGGAATGACTGATGCTGACTGGTTGGGTGTGCTGAATCACTGCTGTGTAATCCAACCAGTGGAATTGTTGTAATCGGCGGCTCAACTTGTGGTGCGTCCATCAATAAACGGTACCGTTGTAGCAGATGTCTCCTTTCGAGAGCCTGTTCTTCTTCCAGGTAACGGAGCCTCAAATCCATAGGCATCTGAGAAACAGGATTCGGCTGTAATGTTGGTACGGACGGAGCAGTTGTCATGATTGGTTCAATCTGCGGAAAGTATACGTGACTACCACAGGTATACCTAGGATCGTACGCCCTATTATAGGTCGATGTCGTCTGGCTGACTGGTGGAACGTATGCTTGACTTGTTGGGCATTCACAAACGGGAGCTTCATAGGACGTACTTGGTCCTCCTGGTGGAAGCGAGACTAGAGGTGGTACTAATGACTGCGTTTCGGATTCAACGGCTGGTATATGTACTGGCGGCATAGAGAATGACGCAGTTGGTACTGGAGCAGGGAATCTGGCGCTACGGCATCTCTGACAGCTCCAATCGTAATCAGCAAGGGCGTCACTCACATTAGCGCATACAAAATGAAACCACCGTTGGCACTCTTCGCAGCTGACCATCTGGCTAGAATCAGGCAACCCACAGAGAGGACAATTCTGTTCCAGGCTGTCTTCTTCCAGTGGTTGCGGCCGACGTGGCATCGCTATAGATACTTGATCCGGGAAAAACGAAACTTTAAGATGTTGCTTATGCAACTAATAGAGAAGTCAGCTCCGAAATTTTAAACGTATTTATTATGTGTTGCGTTAAAGTTTCCTAAAAAAAATATGCGTTTTAGAATACAATGCTTACTATGATCTTATAACTTACGTTTTGTAATCTTCTTTCATTGTTTAACCCGGAATGGGATCTATGTAACGCTAGGCTTAGGGAATCCTGAATACAATTAATCAAATTTAGGAAATATTCAAATTAAACTTTTAGTTAATAAATTTACCGGTTTGTGCAGAATAACTTTAGTTTTCTTTTCTGTCTAGAGGCGGCTCAAGGCAGAGTGCAAATCAATTTAACCTAAAACAATTTCTAGGATAATAAATTTCATTTTAATTAGCACTTTAATAAACAAAACTGTTATTTGTTCAACTCACTGCATGTGTAGAATAACAAATTTAGGTTTAAATGCAAACAAATTTAGGTTTAAATGTAAATATATACGCGAAAATTAGGCAAATAAATTTAGATAATCTTTTTCGACATCGTGTCACACCAATTCAGCTTTGTTATAAGCACTCTTTGTTCTTCTCCATGATCTCGTTTTGTCAGCTTTCGCTTGTTCAGTTGGTACCGAAGTGTTGATTTGGAGGTAGGCTCACAGACGAGGGGCGTTCGCAACAGCCACTTCAACCTACTTATGCTTATATCATATCGTATAAGTCAACCACCCGCAAGAAATTGAGTACAGTTTGTTCTGTACTCCTGTCGTTGTACAATACCTCACGAATTGAACCAATGGCACCCATTTTTTCCCTCAATTTTGCTCGAGCCGGGCACTCCACCAGATGATTTACATCTAAAACCACACCGCATCCCTGGCAGTAGGCCACACTGCCGCTAACACGAGGTCCATGAGTGAGCCGTGTATGACGAATCCTCAGCCGAACATCTTTCCACTCTTGTGTAGTGTTCTTGATTCTACGCAGGAATGCATCACGGTTGTTATGCCAAGATACATTCCATGCGCATCGCGAGGTCTGCTTCACCCAGCGGGTAGCGTCACTAAAGGGCACCGAAGTGGCCTCTAGCTGAGTAAGACGACCCTAGTTAACTAGTATATCAGCAGCCTCATTCCCTGGTATACCTGCGTGTCCAGGTATCCATGCAAAGGTTATGTTCGCATACCGCTGCACCTCCAACAACCACGGATGTCCAACCTGCCCATGCTCAAGGGCAGAGAGACAACTCGCGGAGTCAGAGAATACAACGGCCTGAGACCCGTTTGCTAGCCTGCAAGCTTGCAGGAGAGCATAGGCCTCAGCTGACACCCCATAACCAACTTCCTCGTCGATCAAAGAACCGTCCGTATATAGCATGGGCCTTCCCTCGTATGAGGCAGCAACCTCCCTGAATGCAGCTTTCGCCACACCCGAGCTGGCCCCTGCCCCGCACATAGCTTTAACCCTCCAATCAACTTCCGGGGCAGTAGCATCCCATGCCCGTTGCCACAGCCTAACTCGCTGGGCTAACGTGGGAAAATCTACTCCCGTTAAGTTGCTCCACCATCCTCTCGCCCATGCAACCGTGGGCCTGTCATTGAAGATGGGATCCCTCTCTAATAACCTTAGTGGCCAGGTCTTCAGTGACAACATTCACCAAAGGTACCTTACCATTCTCCACCAATAGGGAAGCTATTGGTGAAGACCTCACCGCTCCACTACAAATTCTGTACGCCTCACTGTACTGAGGTTCCAGAATCTTGAGCAGGGAGATACCACCCCTGCTCCACAGTTCCGCTCCGTAAAGGATGCTAGGGACAACCAGAGCCCTAACAACCTTGGTCAATGTACTACGAGAGGCTTCAGAGAAGCGACCATTTAGGGTCAGAAGGACGTTCAACTTGTTGTTGACGTTATCCTTCACCAACTTGGTGATGACCAAAGCAGACATGCAACAGTTTGGACTTCTCGGGGGAAACCACAAACCCAACACTATCTGCCCAGTCATCGACAGACTACACTGCATCCTGCATTTTATGCCTAACCACCCTACCGTATTTACCTAACACGATGAGGGTAATATCATCGGCGTACACAATAATGTGTACTTCCTTCGTTCAAACACTGAATTCATCGCAATGAGAAACAGTGTAACCGAGATGACAGAGCCTTGCGGGTTGCCATTCTCCAGCAACCTCGAAGAAGAGGTTGCGCCAGCGTTCAAAACTCGGAAACTACGGTTCTGTAGAAAGTTTTCTACGTAGTTAAACAAACATCCCAACATACATACAAGTCCCATTTCTTGAGGGAAGTCAAGATAGGAAGCTTCCATGTCATATCATATGCCTTGGACAAATCGAGGGAGACTACATCTACATGCAAATCTTCCGACGAGGCCTTGTCCAATAAATGATCGGGCTCAGAGAAGAACGTCTCCGATCCATAGCCGTATCGAAATGCGTGTTGCTGTGGGTGGATCCGTCCTTGCCTCTCCAGCTCAGTTGACAGACGACGATTAACCATCCGCTCGAGTGTTTTTGCCATGCAGCTCAGCAGGGTTATCGGTCGATAACCATCCGTTTGGGTTCTATCCTTCCCAGGTTTGGGAATGGGAATAACCAACCCTTCTTTCCACTCCTAAGCAGGGGATACTAAATATCGTCAGGACCCGCAGCCTTACCAATGCCGCGGCGCAGGGCCCAGTTGAGCTCTTCAAGTTTGAATACTCTGTTATAGTCTTTAACAAGAATTCACTGCCCGTCACGCAGAAACTCATCACTGTGATTGCTGTTTGCCGACACCTTGGCAAATTGATCAGCAAAGGCCTCACTGATAAGTCCTGGGTCTTTCGTGTAATCACCATTCAACTCAATCACCCTCTCAACATGTCTATTCTTACCACCGACAGACTTTACCTTTCGCCATAGCTCACCAGAGCTAGTGGTTTCCGATATGTCCGCGGTGAAAGCAGACCTTGTATCCCGCTTTGCAGCTTTGATTACACTTCTAGATTTAGATCGAGCGAGCTAAAACTCCCTCAATCTGTCGTCCCTAGAAGGATCATCAAGCTGCAACCTACGCAGCGCCCTTAGACATTTACGTGTAGCCCTAATCGCTGTATGAATTTCTGTCCCCCACCAAGGAACAGTTTTCATACCCCCCCTACCTCCAGCCTTTGGGATGTGACGATGAGCGGCCTTACTCAAGATTTGGGTCCAGTCACCTGGTCTCAGTATCGTGTCATCACCAGGCAGTTGGCGACAGACTTCTTTGCCAAAGCCGTCCCAATCTGCCTTCTCAAGGTTCCATCTAACTAAGTTGTTCTGGCAACACTGGCCGTTGCCCTCCTCCATCGCTGCAGTGAATTTGGACGATGAGGTAGTAAGTAGTATGACAGATGAAGTGACGGATTGAAGAGAGGAGGATAGATAGATGAATAGAAGATAATCTGTCAAAGAACGGAAGGTAGAAAATCAAAAACAAACAGTATCGATTAGAAAGTGCTTAAAAGTGAGTTTTTTTTAGTATTCTGTGCTTTGGGCATTTTATAGAAAGTTTGTGGACAAATTTAGGTCAGTGGAGGTTACAAAACACGGAACGGCAAGCAGACGACTCACAGATAGGTAAAACGAGATAAACACTGTAACAAATGAATTAAATTAAAACACTGAATTTTGTAATAGGCGGAAAGAACATTTCAGAGCGGTCTAGGTAGAAGAAAGGTTGTTTGCAGGAGGAACAATAACTAAAATTGTGAGTACTTCAACTAAAACCACAAACTATAAACACTAACACTATATTAAACGAATTCTTGCAGTTTGATCAACTTTATTTACGGTTGATTTACAAAAAAAACGGTTTTGTTTTTCTTTGATCCGAACAAAAATCAAAAATTTTATTTCGAAGCACTTCGGAATGGCCTTTTTACCTTCCAAGGACGAGAAATGTTTGTTTTGCTCCATGTCAGAGTCGACGTCGGAGGACGTAGATTGGGTCCAATGCGGAAAGTGTGAAAATTGGGCTCATTTTTCTTGCGCGGGTGTTGACCAGGAGGTAGCGAAATCCAATTGGTATTGCCCACAGTGTGTCCCAACGAGTGTTCAGCAGTTGAAGATTCCAGACGCAGGAGGCAAGAAGCGAGGTAGCAAGAAGTCCGGCCAAAAGAGCGATGGAGGGTCTGATCAGGGAGCTGGTTCCGATGTTGATCCAGTTGAAAAGCAGTTGGAAGAGGAACAGTTAGCCAAGGAGAAGGCCTTTGCGAAGCAAATGGAAGTGCGGAAGAAGTTACTCGCTCGGCAGAAGGCGTGGAACGAAGAAAAGCTGAAGCAGGAACGGGAGATGCTTGAACTGGAATCCCAGGCCCGGCGAGAAATAGAGATGCAGCAGTTGGACTACGAGCAGAGAATGTTGCAGGCTCAACTGGCTGCGGAGCAGAAGTTTTTGAAGGAACGGGAGGCAATCCGGCTGCAGGTCAACAGCAGCATCAATAGAATTAAAGCGCTGAAGGATCAATATGGCGCTGTTGGTGGATCTTCGAAGGACGGTCCGGAGCAGAAAAGGCAGCCGGAGCAGAAAGGGCAGCTGGAGTTGCAGAAACAGAAGAAGATAGCCGAAAAGCCAGCGGGTACGGATTCTCGAGGAGCGTACCCGAAAAGGGAGGACCGACATGGAATGGAGTCGGGTTCTAGAAAAACCGATAAGCAGAAGAAGATGAAGGAGGTGCCTGCTAAAGATCGGGAGGCCGAATCAAGTGATGAGGGCCAAATCCGCGACTCGTCGGAAGACCGTGCGAGCAGCGACTATTCAGAAGATTGTGGAAGCAGCGACTCGTCGGAAGATCGTGCGAGCAGCAAGCGACCTGGCAGTGTGCGTGGTAACGGAGCTGGTGACGGGTCGGGGCGAACCGGCGGTCGAATCTCGAGGGATCAGCTGGCCGCTAGAAAAGCGATTTCGCATCACCTTCCAAAATTTCGTGGAGAACCGGAAGTTTGGCCGCTGTTTATTAGCAGCTTCGAATATACGACGGAAGCATGTGGGTTCTCAAACCTGGAGAACTTGAAGCGACTGCAGGACTGTTTGCAAGGTGACG